CCCAACAACTATGTCCCATAATTCTGATTGTAATTTTTTTGTTTTATTTTCTTTCTTTCTGTAACTTTTTTTTCGTTTAAACAGCAATATTGCTGTGATTGACAGTAATATTAACTATATTACTGTTAAACACAGTAAAATTAACTAAACTACAGTTTAACACAGTAATATTGCTATATTAATCTCTAGAACAGTAATATTAACACAACAAAACTCATTATTATTGTATAATAGAATAATATTACTATGTTGACCGTTCAACAAATGTAAATATAATAAAAAGCTAAAAGAATTAATATTACTGTGAGTGACAGTAATATTACTATAACAACAGTAATATTACCGTCAACCACAATAATATTACAATAATAGACAGTAATATTATTACGTTACTCCGTGAATAACTCAAACAAACAAAAAAATTCAAACAAGATAATCATATTGATGTGGTTGACAGCAATATTACTAGAACAACAGTAATATTACCATCGACCACAATAATATTATTGTGTTTATAATAATATTACAATAATAGACAATAATATTATTACGTTACTCCGTGAATAACTCAAACAAAACAAAAAACCCAAAAAAATAATAATATTGATGTTATTGACAGTAATATGATTGTGTTTACAGTTAATTTTACTGTCAACGACAGTAATATAATTACGTTAACTTGTCAACAAATCAAAAAAATAACAAAAAATAAAAAATAATAATATAAATGTATTGTCAACGCTAGTACAATTACGTTAATTAACTGTCATTGACAGTATAATTACGTTAATTTACTGTCAGTGACAGCACAATTACGGTCAACGTTTAGCGGCGGACGTAAAAAAAAAAAAAAAAAAAAACTAAAAAAAATCAACGCCGGAAACCGGCGAAAAAATCCGGAAGAAAAAAAAAGAATATAAAAAAAAAGTCAACGCTGGAAACCGGCGAAAAAATCCGAAAAAATAAAATAAAATAAAAAAAATCGAAAAGTCAACGCCGGAATCTAGCGGCAAAAACATTTTTTTTGAAAAAAAAAAGTCAAAATTGAATTTTTGTGGTCAAAATTGGATTTTTCTGGACAAAATTGATTAAATTGGGGTTACAATTAAGAATTGGGGATAAATGGTTGGTGGTAATATTGGCATATAAATATTAAAGGGATGAATGTTTCCTTTATTTATAATAAATATTAAAGGGATGGCTTATTGGTAAAAGAGATATAACCCCTATACCTAGAATAATATGCTTGGTTGGAGACTTATGCACAAAAATCCCTGAAAATATTATGTGCAAAAATGTATATAATAATCAGATAATGCTAAAATTAGAGTGGAGAATAATGTGGAAATGAACGTCTGAAGCGATGAAATATTTGAAGTCGGAAAATATCATATGTGTCTATAAAATCTTTTAATATTATATATAGTTTAATAACAAAAATCTATGTCTTTTAAGATTTATATAGGTATTTTAATAAAAAAAATTAATACCATAAAATCAAAGAGTTATAATGTCTATTTCAATTTTCATATTCAACTTTAAATGATGAGTAGAACCAAAGTACTATACGGTAATATTTTTAATACTTGTTTTCACGGTATTTCTAGGGAACCGTGTTGACAACGTATTGATCAAATTAACTATTAATCGTAAGATTTAATTAACAAATTAACTTTAAAATTTAATCATAGATTGAATCTATTTAGATAGGAATCGAATCGAATCGTAAGATTGAATCGATTTTAATAACCATGAACATATATAGACATTTTTATGAAATTTTAGAATAAATATTAAAATAAGTGAAATGCTATTTGCGGTTAAGAATTTGCTATTTGCGGTTCATAACCAAAATTGTTTATCTCTCTAAAATCGAAAATTCTACAAAAACCTCACAAAACCGCAAATAGCAAAAAAAAAAAAAAAAAAAAAAAAATCGAAATTTCGATTTCAAGCTTCAAGAACGGTTGGGCTTCGATTTTTTCAGGTAATTTCGACTATTTTATGTATAATATGCATTGCCCATGTCGATTACGGAACCAATTTCATGTTAAAAGCCCCTACAAATCGAATTGTAGGGGCTTTTTTTTTTTCCGGATAATATGTGCTGAACGCCCAAGATGGGCGACCATGGGGTGTTCGAACGCCCGATTAGGGCGTTTCAACACCCCATGGGCGCCCATCTTTGGCGTCAATTGTAGTATTTAATGCCCGGTTCGGGCGTGAACTGGGCGAGCGAACGCCCGGTCCAGGCGTTTGCTCGCCCGGTTCACGCCCAAAACGGGCGTTCGGGTCAAATTTTTTTTTTAAATCAATTATAATAATTTAATTAATTTAAAATATGTTTTATGTTTGTAGGATGTCTAATTGGATGAAAAAATTGGTAATGGGAAAAGGGAAGGGGCCCCTAATTCGTCCTCCTGCAGATCCGGTGGAGGAGACTACTGCGGAACGGGAGGGCAGAACGCACAACCGTAATGTTATCAGTTCTAAACGTCGTGGGGAACAGACTGGTGTTTTTGTACAACCACGTATGACAATCGAGGAGGAGGAGGAGGAGACAGAGGCAGAGCCCGAGAAGGAGATGGATACATATATGGATCCGCATGAGGACGAGTACGATCCAGGACTACGTTTTCAGCAGAAGTATCAGTTCCCGGTGCCTGATTTGCCATCCGATGATGATGATGAGGACGGTTTGACTCCGCCTCCGCCTCCGGCTTATACAATGGCTGGTACTTCCGGTGGTTCTACTCCTGTCCCAAACCCAAGGTCCCGGCCCGGTCCGAAAAAAACTTTTCCTACTCGACCGTGGAAGTTGATTGGTGAAACACCCGGTGGACCAAAATACCCTCATTTGATTCCGAGTTTTGAAGCGCATATTGCCTACGACATCTGGGAGGGAAAGGTAATACTTATTAATTTTAATAAATTTTGTTTAAAATGTTTATACTTGATTTTCCTATTCTTAAATATGAATATATCTTCAACATGGCCGACATATGCTGAAGTTGCGGTCTCATGCGAAGTCTACTTGGCCGGGCCCCGACACTACTGGAGAGTACGGGGTTGTATCACTTGCATTATTGTTCGCTCCCTCAGCACAATAACCCATTGATAGAGGCTTTTTATCGAGAGGTGGCAGCCAGACACCAACAGCTTTCATATGCCATTTGGAGAGATGACAATTACTCTCCACGATGTACATTATATCATGCATTTGCGAGTTAGTGGACAGCGCCTTAACGTTTGGATGGATAAGGCAGATGCGATTTATGCAGGTGCGAGAGCGTTCGGTGTCGAGCCCCCAGATATGGAGAAGTGGTATGGTGGCGGATCCCGGTTAGATGATTTGGATAGGATGTATGGCGACAATTCTTCATTTGCTTCCGAGTTTCGGGCACGAGCATATATTGCGTACTTGCTCGGAAAGCTGTTGTTTGTCGATAAGAGTGGATCAAAGGTGAAAGCATATTTTTTTCCCGCTTTTAGAGCACATCGATATGATTTCCGAGTATTCTTGGGGTTCAGCTACATTGGCCTATTTGTATCGAATATTGGGCATGGTTACACGAGCTGAGGTGGCGCAGATGGGTGGTTGTCTGACACTGTTGGAGGTATTTTTTTATTTGTAGTAACCCCTCAAATTTTTTTTTTATTAATACCACCAAACTGTTTAATACGCCGTATCATTATTTTTGTAGTGTTGGATATATGAGTATTTTCCGTGTTTCCGGCCTCCCATGGTTAACGCACATGTGAATGGAGAGCTCCGGTGTAAGAGGTGGCAGGTGATACATCATATCCCTAAGGACGAGGATATACTTGTTGATTATCGTCGACGTCTTGATTCTATGCGTGTTTCAGATGTAAGTATCAAATTTAAATAAATTAAGATTTCTATATTTACTATGTTTATTAATACATGTCTATTATTAATACATACGCACAGGTGAATTGGACGCCATTTGGATTGAATGTGTCACGTGAAGTTGAAAAGACGGTTCATCACGGGACTATTCGATGGATGGAGTTTTGCGTCAGCTCGGATTTTGGCAGATTAAACCGGTGGACCCTATTGGTCCGCTAAAAGATGCTAAGAGGGATAGAAAATTAGCATCGTACAAAATTAGCTACGAGCCTGGCGATCAGATATGGAATATCCCCCACACGCACATGCTTAGTCAAGATTATTATGGTCATTGGGCGCGTCCGGCTTGGGAGTCGTCACCAGAGTATTTGCCGTGGTATCTCGATCACACCCACGTCCGTATACATCCTAGTACCGAGCCGGTTGAGAGAGCGGAGCCATCTGCAGTTCCGTTTGTGTACGACATGACACGAGTGTTGCATCCCTACTTCTACGATAAATTGCCTCCGTCGACTATTCCAGGATATCGACAGATTCCCGGTGACTTTTTTAGGACGATCCAGGACATGTGCGCCCCATTCGCTGAGTATCTACAGTTGGACCGTCCTGATGTTTCTGACGAACATGACGCAAGATACTCACATATGTGACATTCTCAGCGCAGGATTCGGACGAGAGATACGTAGGTGTTTTTTTTTTTTTTTTTTTTTTTTTATTCGGACTTGTTTGGTGTTGATGTTTTCGGGTAATTTGGACATGTTGTTTTTTTGTTTTGATTTGGACTTTTTGATGTTTTGTGTTCTTAATTTAGACTTGATGTTTTGTGTCTTTGATTTGGACTACTTGATGTTTTGTGTTTTAATTTGAACTAGTTCATGTTTTTTGTTTAATAATAATAATAATAATAATAATAATAATAATAATAATAATAATAATAATAATAATAATAATAATAATAATAATAATAATAATAATAATAATAATAATTCAAATATCTCTCATGTTTCTGTATCTAGGCGCATGAACAAACAACAACAACAACATCATCATCAACAACAACAACAACAACAACAACAACAACAACAACAAAACTAATTCAAACACTAGTTAGAATATCCCACGCTTCACGTCAATCCCGCAACGCCTCTGGCAAATATGCAACAGTATTATTGTTGTATCTCGCCCACTGCAGGTTAAACGGAGGAAGCGGACAATTGTCATTCAGCTTCAGATACACAAAGTGGCTTCCTGCTTCAAGAAATAGTTAAGTCATCTGGTTAGATAACTGTGAAACACCTTCGGGAGCCCAAAGTGGCAAAGAAGTCTGATTTCCTGAACTGCTAGCCGACAAGACCAACGCGTTGTAATATGTTGCTACAACTACGTCCACGTCCGTGATCGTCATCCACTTTTGCAAAGGTGCTGGTGCGTTATCCCAATAGGCGACACTCGCCAATACCCGATACACTGAATTACCACCACCGAAATAATTATTGAAGAACAGCTCGTGTCTTCTAATACAGTTATACACATCCAATCTAACCTCCATCCAATCATCCTCATTGTTCTTGACTGCATACGCCACGCTCCGATAACCACAATTACCATTCCCTTGAACGTCTGTCCACGTCACAACCTCCAGAACGAGGCAAAAATGATGCTCTCGCAACCAACTAGGTCGAGGCATTCGTCCCATTTCAGGTCCACTCACAGTCGATGAACGACCACGCCCACAGCTAGATCTCTCAGAAGATGAACCATGGCCTCTGTTGCCTCTTGATCGTCCTCGTCCTCATCTAGAATTTTCTTCGCCCGGGTATAACGGAAACTCATGCGCTGACTCATCCTCTGTGTGGAGTTGTTCCGCGGTCTACCTCTCGGGCGGTCTAGAACTGGTGGCTCATTTATTTCCGTTGTCCCAGGATGCATTCGTTCAAAAACGACATCTGCCACGTCTGTGATCTCAATTTCTGAACGTTGACGCAACTCATCAATTAACCCGTCTAGCATGCCAATAGCCTGTGACTTGTGATCGGGAACAAAACCAACATTTTCTTCTTGGCCATCTCCGAATCCCGAAACCCATGTCCTCCAAAAAATGTGGACATCCTCCGCGTAAAACAAACCACGTCGTGCATTCACCTTTGCGTCAATTTCATGTTTTGCATGGGAGGCCAAGACATTTCCTCATGTAACAGACGCAACTGTCTATATCTTCATCATTCTCACCGTCCAACATCTTCAGTGCGAATGTGTTACAATTCCACTGGACAATATTTTAAATACGAGCACATTAATCGTCTGGGCCCGAATCCTCTTTGACTTCGCAAATTCGGCCAGAATCTCGTTAAGTTGATCTTCGATCTGTGTGTGATACTGTGCCCAAAATGTGTCAAAGCCACCTGTGGACGCATCCAACCATCTCTTCAATGCTCTATGGCTGCTCTCCACCCTAATATGATTAAAGTAGGTTACGTTTCAGTAAACAACATGACAGTAAGTTAAGTATATGTACTTAACCACTTATAAATAAATACCTACTTGTCGATGTATTGCTCCAGATGAAAAACTAGATCCGTCCATGCTTTTACAAATTTCTCTTTGTATATCAGCCAAGTGTCTTGAAGGTACTCCATCAACTGTGGATGATCCGCGTAATTGTCCACCAGAGCTCTGTAATTCCGGCTGAAATCTTCTTCACACACTGATGTTACCAAAGTTTGCTACGTACCAAGTACAAAAGAAACCCCTTGACGCCTACTATTGCCGAAACATCTTGAAGCACGACGCCCCACATTCATGTTAATGTGCCAAAGACATAATAGATGAGCCACAGTCGGAAATACATTCTCTATCGCTTTTAAGAGCCCTAACTCGCGATCAGTCACGAGTGCACTAGGTAGAGTATGTGGGGGGGAAAAGTCTCTTCAACCTTTGCAACACCCATGTATAATGGTTTTCATTTTCATGGCGCAAAAATGCCACTCCAACAGTAATTTTTTTTCCTACAAGAGTAACACCAACAATCTCCAACAAAGGCAATTTGTACTGATTGGTTTTGTAAGTACTATCAAGTAGTATAACGTACGGAAACTTACTTAATAATTCGACAGATAGAGGGTGAGCCCACATCAAATCAATAACTTCATGTGTGGTTTCATCAGTACGGAACCACTTGTAATAGTTATGCTCCTCAAGCAACCCAATCAAATGTTGCATCACTGTACGGTCACCCCTAGCTAATTTTCTCAATTTTGCCTTTTCATTGTATATTTGTTTCGAATAAGCATCGAAACCCAAGCCATTTTGTCTCAAGTTAGCCAAAATCTTCTTGGGCGGCACATGACTTTGTGAAAGATTCTTGATAATCTTCACCTCCGCTTCATTCAATGCAGTCATCCCATGCCCAGACATGTATATCGGAAAATGACTATGCTTCCCATATATTATTCTGAGCCCCCATCTATCGTCCAACCGCCGCTCTCCTACAATTTGAAAACCACATTTTATTTTTTTGCTATCAGACCTTCTCGAGGCCGCCTCTGGGTTAGTTGATTGTGTTTCTCGGGGCCCCCCTGAACAGGTCACAAGTCAGACACACTTTCTTTGTTTTGGGGGCACTTTTTCTAATTAATTTCACAAAAAGACCTCTTGCAACGGACCTCGCCCAAGCCACTAACTCGTCCCTCGAGTCAAACAATTGAGTTGTTGTAAAATAATCGGTATGATCAACTTAATTGTAGACGTATTGTCCTGAAAAAAAACATCAAAAATTTATTTAAAAAAAAAAATTGAACCGGACGCCCAACTCGGGCGCCCATTTATGCGGTGCACGGCCAAGTTGGGCGTGCAGTTGGCTTCCGGGCGCCCGCATCGGGCGTGGAGCAGCCAATTGCACGCCCAAGTTGGGCGTGCACTGAATAAATGGGCGCCCAAGTTGGGCGTTTGCACGATTTGCCCAGTTTTTTCGATCGAGAAGACGGAATTTTTACCTTGTTATGTCCGGTATCACGATCTTCATCCGATGAGCTCATTTGTGTTCGTATATCACACCAATAAGAATGATTTTTAAGCAAATTCCCTTCAAAAGCTTTTAGAGAGAGAATATTTTAATATTAAACCGCAAATAGCGATTTTGCAACCACAAAAAGCAAGTCCCTAAAATAAATGCGCTTAAAACAACATTTCTTTGAATCTCTCAAAACAATTCTTAAATATTGGCAAAATAAATATTTCAACCTTTAAAATTCTATAAGGTATAAGAGCAACTCCAACGGAGTTATTAAATGAGTTATCAAATCTCTTAACTACCATTTGACTCCTAAAATTAAAAAAAAAATTCTCAAAAGGGTTTATTAAATTGGGTTTGGATTTTAATATTTCTCCTCTTTGAATCTAAAAATACGTCCTGCAGATTGAGTTATCAAAAAAATAACTAGCTACCTAACCAACCGTTCACAAATTGACATGTGGCAGTTACATATAAAATTATCAAAAAACTTCCAATTGATGATAAAATTTGATAACCGTGGTTGGAGTAGATGAGTTTTAAATATATTTTAAATTATTATCTTAAATCTCAAATGAGCATTTGATAATCCAATTTTGATATTTAGCATTGGAGTTGCTCTATGCGATTAAAATGGCCAAACTTGTCAAAACTAGTCCCTTGATATTCATGAAAATCCAATCATCCTTTCTCTCCCCAACAGTTACAAATTGTAAAAGAATGAAGAGGTTTCATGGAATTCCAATCATGATATATATATCGTAATATCCAGGTTTGAAATAAAATAATTAATAATTTTTGTATTGTTTTGAAAATAGTAAGTAAGATACTAGTATAATTTTGACATTTTTTTTTTCAAAAACATAAATTTTAATTGATAAAGAAGAGGGGCCTCGTTAAAAACCTAGTTTGGTGGCCATAACAAGGAAAAGAGAACACATTATTTACAATTTTTACGAAAATTAAACAAACCTAATGTATCCATCATAATGGTATGATGTATTTTAGAAGGTAAGCTACTATTATTACAATATTATAATGTGTTGTTGGTAAACCTGGGCCATTTATGCCAATTTACCCGCAGCAAAATTCTGCTCTCTGTAAACATGTTTCACCTCCCAAATTTGCTGCAAAAGATGGTTGCATATCTGAACTAGAAAACTAACTTCCCAAGGAGGATAAAGATTCTCTCTAATGAATCGAACAACATGCTGGGAATCTGACTCACTCAATAACCAGAAATTGAGTATTCATCTCCAGACACATTAAAAGACCTTGCCGAAGAGCCCAAACTTGTACATACAAAATAGATTTGTCCCCATAAAATGTAGAATAAACACATAAACATGCACCTCTATGATTTCGAAGAAATTCTCCACCATAACATTTCCCATTTTTTTATGAGCAATCCACATTCAACTTAAAAGTATGTGGCTCGTGAGGAAGCCACTTCAACCATTTGCCATGTAAGATTGGGGGACTGTGCATAGGAAGTTGAAAGTCTTTCACCACATGTCTACTCCATGTATTATGCTTCATTTGAACTTTCATTCCATAAAAATATAGAAATATATGGCCACGAGCCTTATGGATATTCCATTAGAATATTCCCATACACAGTCATACATCTATTTTTCCATAATCCCCACCAACCATAAATAAGAATGTTGTTTAAAAATTTGCAGTATGATTCCATATTTAAATCAAGTAATAAACGCTCGAGTAGATGATCGTAGTGTATTTAATTACTCAAATCCAATATGGGATGAATGAGCAAACAATGCACAAAGTTAACTATGTTAAAGAGCTAAACTGAGCTTAAAGGGCTTGGTAAGAGGTGGAATGTCACCTATCCGATATAGGGGAAATAGCATTAATATGAACACTTTAGATAGTGTTAAGTGGATAGTTAGAGGTATAATCAAGAGTTGGTTTAAGTACGAAGCCACACGCACGAACCGCCGCCTCCCGCCCGAACTGGGATCGGGACCGAGCCTGTGCACGTGCCATGCCGAGCCGAGTCCGAGTCCGAGTCCGCGATCCGCGGGTCGTTGTGCTTTGTGCTTTGGGAATATTTGGCTTGGAGTTGGGCACGTTTTGGACCCAATTTAATTAAGTTTGTTGGGCTTAATTAATTAAAACCAAATTTATTTACTCTAGTCAATCCGAGCGCGACATTTGTACAAAGATGACATCATCGCACTTAGGAGCGGATGTGTCTCTCGGTCAGTGCACCAAGTAGGCGTCTATTCAGTTTAAACACGGACTGGTCTTTAATCCCTACAAAAAGACATAGCACATTTTCGGCCCTTCTTTTCCCAAGTGTTGTGACTTTTGGAACACATCTTCTGAAAACTATAAATGAGACCCTAGTTTTCCAGCAAACTCACTCAATTTGTCCAAGCATTTATAAGTATATTTTTGCATCCTCTTTCCTTTATGTCATAAAGTCCAAAACATTTTTTCGTTCGATATGTTCTCCAACAGTTGTTGTGCTATTCTGTTGGGACTGCAAATCATTGTATCTTGGGAGGTAATTGCCCAAACTGAAGCACTATTGTGGGACAAATTTGTATTAAGGAGAAAGCACAAAGTCCATGCCTCGACTTTTCTTTGTCGCTATATTTCTGTCCTAATCTCTGTCCAAAAATTTATATTTTAAAACACCCCAGATAACAATCTTAAGACAAAATTTATGCTTTCGAAATGGAAAATCAAGGAACTGAAATTGTTGATGCTACTGCCACTGCTACTGCGGCAATTCCAATGGCTATTCCGATCCATATTTCTGCCTCGTGCTTATGGAAAAAGACCATAAAAATTTACCGGAATTGAATTCAAAAGTTGGCAGCAAAATATGTTGTTTTACCTCACAACAATGAACCTTCAAGGGTTCATGAGTTAAATGGCTTCTACGGTGGCTGAAGATGATACCGATGTTCAAAAGAGGACTCCTTACGATGCTTGGCACCACAATGACTTCTTCTGTCGAAACTACGTCCTTAACGGACTTGACAACACACTGTACAACGTATACAGCAACTTCAAGACAACAAAACATTTGTGGAACTCTCTCGAAAAGAAGTATAAAACAGAGGATGCTGGCTTGAAGAAATTCATAGTCGGACAGTTCCGTGACTACAAAATGGTGGATTTCAAGACAGTGGTCGAACAAGTCAAGATTTACTGTTGATTCTGCATGATATTCATGCCGAAGAAATGCAACCAAACGAGTCTTTACATGTAAACACAATCATCGAGAAGCTACCACCTCAATGGAATGTTTACATATAATTATAATATATTCAAATTTAGATATGTTACATGGCAATAAGACAAAATATTTTAGTAGCTAATGACTAATTATTATTAGGGTAAATTACACTTTTACCCTTTGTAGTTTGACTTAATATCACTTTAATCATTTCTATTCTCGATTGCATCGATTTGCCTCCATTCACTTGAAAAAATGTCTCAATGTGGTTATAACCATTAGTTTTAAGACCTTAGACCTTATCACCTTGGTCTAATGTTTGAAAATTACAAAAAAAGACCAGGTGTAGCAAAAGAAGAATAAAAAAGGACACTAGCAACAGAAGACCCACTCAATGTTTATCACCAGGTGTAGAAGGAGCCGTGTGATTAGGTAGTCTTGGAATTCACGGATACAAGTCGATAGCATTCCGAGCATGTAATCAGTGGGGGACCGACATCAAACAATCCTAACTATTGATTATAAGATACTTGTAAGTCGATCTTGCTCTTTCATTGAAAGCAAAAGGGGCCTAATAGTTACGGCCCAAAAAGGAGAGAAAAATGGGAGTGATGGTCAATCCTACACCTTGTAATTTTTATCCTATGGAAATATTTTATTACATTATATATATCTGAATTTCTGCTGCACCCTCCTCTGTTATCCCCTGCGCCAGCCATTAATCAGCTCCGGTAATGGCTCTGTTACCACCCACATCTGGGTTCACCTCAATTCACACGAACACCATCTGTTCGACGAAATCCACACCCTCTTTCTCAATTCATTTTTCAAGAGCTAAGCTCAATCTGAACAGGTACCCTTTCCTCCACAATTGCCCCCGCCGTCTCCGCCCACGGTTTCCGAGCAGGGCATTTGATACAGACAGCGATCAGAAATTACCCGACCAGGATGAGAAGATTGGAGGGGAACAGGAAGCTGAGTTAATTGATGACAACAAGTACCCCACCGGTGAGTTTGTGTATAGGGAGTATGATCCTTGGGAGAATTTGGTTGTGAAGTTCAAAATGTTATTCGCATTTCCATGGCAGCGCGTCAAGAAGGGCAGTGTCCTCACCATGAAAATACGAGGAGAGGTTCATACTCTCTCTCTCTCTCTCTCTCTCCCTTTTTTGGCTGTTTTTATATTAATCTTTTATTTTCGATTTGCTGATAATACTTGTTTGATTCTCCAAATTCTTCTAATTTATGTGCTAAGGAACATGACAGTGATGGTGATCATGAATTTATATACCAAGCTAGAAGGATTGGTAGATTTATAAATAAGATCAAAATAAGTAAGTATGCTTGTAAATAAAATAAGTAGGTACGTATGCTTGTTACGAAAATTACGTTTTTAAAATTCTAAACAAGATATATTCTTAGATTTTGTTATTCTTAGTTACCGAATGTTTCAAACTCTTCTGATCACTCGTTTGACTACAATCTTGTTTTGCCAATTTGCTAGCAAAAGAGTAACTCGGTTCAATTTTCGAGAAAAAATATTGAGCGACTTCAATGTTATTCCTAAATATGGTCAGAGAATTGCTTTTGGATACAGTCAAAATTAGTGTGAAACACTTGTTAGAGAGAGAGAGACGTCATTTGATAATTAATGTGCGTCCACTGCACTTTGATTGCTCTTTTACAAAGTTTTATGTTTAAAGTGACAAGGTACCCTTCAAATTTCCTTCACACGATCACCTTTTTGGTGCAGGTTGCAATATTAATTAAGTTAGAAATTGAGACGCGAAAGGGCTTATTAGGCCTGTATGAAAATATAAGTATCAGTTTATGATAGACATGTGAATTTCTTAAAGAAAAATTCTAACATCATGTGTCTACAAGTTCGTCAACATAAGTATTGTTTTTTTGGTGATATGGTAGTCAGAAACATAGTTAATGCAAATCCGTGGGTGCTCAATAAACTTAATTTTAGAAAGTTTTAAGTTTATGTTGATTGCACTATATTCTATTGAATATCCTTCCACGAGCAGGAGCATATTCTAAGAATTTCATTTCACAAGAATATTGTGACTGTTGTCTTTTATTTATGGAGCACATCAAGCAATAAAACTTTTATAAATAGAATGGAGGCCTTACATATGCACTTATACGCTTTCGATTCAGATATTATGAGCATGTGCAGGTATTTTTATCCCATCTTGAGGTGCTAATTTTACAATCTTAAATATTATGAAACACATATTTGTTAGCAATTTTTAATTTAGGCCTTTCGAAACTTATTCCCTTCTTTTTGCTTGCCTCAAAGTCTACTCTTCTTTTATGAAAATATAAAATCGTTGAGTTCCCGTGACATTCCCTCTTTTTCCTTTATTCTGTATGAATAATCACAGGGAATAGCTCTGGCTACCATATTTGCATTTTTAAATATATGAACCATTAGGAACAGTAATGACTAATTTGTTTAGTGTAAAAAATCGTATGGGACAGCTTGCCATTAGAACCAGTATGACTTGGTAGGGATGTAAAAATGCTCTTTGGTCATTCTATTATATTCCTCATTGTGTTGCTTCAGATTTTGTTTTCATGATTTTGTGACAAGGAAAATTTCTTCCTCTTTGTCAGATATCGGATCAACTTAAGAGCCGTTTCTCATCCGGATTATCTTTACCTCAAATTTGTGAGAATTTAATCAAAGCAGCATATGATCCCCGTATCTCTGGAATTTATCTCCAAATTGAACCATTGAGTTGCGGGTGGGGAAAAGTTGAAGAAATCCGCAGGCATGTATTGGACTTTAAAAAATCAGGTATCAGTACATAATTTTTTCGGGTTTCTAATGCTCTATTTGAATTCTATTCTTGTATCTAGTGCCCCCTAAAGTTAAGAAAATATATTTGGATACTTAATCATGTCTAAGGTTTAAATGGATCAACTCAAATGATGGGATGTGCTTTAAACTCTAAAACAGGCTACTGTAGATGGGGACAGAAATCTCTTAGATGTAATAATTTTATTTATTTTCAATTAAACCCCACCATATATGAAGATCTCCACATTTTCCACCAAACTAAAGTTTTCATGTCAAAATTCCGAAATAAATCGTGTTATTGTGCAGATGTAGATAATTTCTTGACAATATAGAGCTGTTAAGAAGGTATGATTTATATAAAATCAAGTTTGTTAATTCAGACTCCTATTATGCTGAGGAAAGTTTCTTGAAATTTTTTCATCCATGTTGATAAAACTTTTTTCTGGCTTAAAAAGTTCACTGAAAATTCTTTCTTGCAATTTGTAGGAAAGTTCATTGTGGGCTATGTGCCAGCTTGTGGAGAGAAAGAATATTACATTGGTAGTGCTTGTCAAGAGCTTTATGCTCCACCAAGTGCTTACTTTCAATTGTATGGGTTGACTGTTTCGGCATCATTCCTTGGAGGTAAGTTGTTTTTGGTGGCTATGGAAAAGTCTTATTTTTCATTTTTCACGAACAAAGGTCGCAATATAGTGTATCTGAGCCTAGGATGTTGAAATTCATGTTAAAAATTCACAAGTTTTGTCTATACTTCAACTGTATATAAAGAAGGTACTCTCCATCAGCAAAATTCAGACACATACAACAGATAGCCAGTTGTAACAAGCCCCCAGAAATAGGATACCAAAGTGGTGAAAAATTAAACAATTCAGTCTAACAACTCTAAACTGAACACCAATAATTTCGTTGGAGACAACCCTAATTTTACCGTACAGTTTATGTGGATAATCTACCACGTAAAATACCATATCACATAGGCAACCCGAGTCATTTGTCCAGACTTAACATGGTAGCTTAGGTCTGTTATTACCTATTGCATGAATAACAAATTATATTAATGTTGTTTAAATTGTGAATATGCATGAAATGTCACATCATTAATAATTTCATAGTGTATTAATTTATAATTCACTCCTATTCCACATCTTACTAGATTTTAATGAAGTTAAGATAGGTTTTTATAATATATTTTGTAGCTTATTAAATTTTGGAACCCCTCATATCTCAAATTCAGTATTTAAAAAGCAGTTTCAGACATTACAAATCTAATTAATTGTTTTTTTGAGAACCTGATTGATATGTATATATCAATGGCCTCTACTTTTAGAGGTACCTTATCCTATACACATATTCATTTGAATAGATTTTTAAAACTCGAATAGAACTGAAAGGCTTTTAATTTATGAGCATCTTTTAATGCACCTATATATATCCTTATGATCTCCTTTTAACTGCAGTGGAGTGCCGTCAACAATTGTTTTGTAGGTGTCCTTGAAAAAATTGGGATTGAGCCGCAGGTTGAACGGATTGGTAAATATAAGAGTGCTGGGGATCAACTTACACGTAAAAGCATATCAAATGAAAACCGTGAAATGCTGACTGCTTTGCTTGACAACATCTACGGGAATTGGGTAGAAACAATTTCACTTGTTAAAGGTAACTTTACAATTGGTGTCTTTGTTTACACTCACTCAACATTTTTGTCATCCAATTTCTTGTTTGCTTATGCAGGAAAGAAAAAAGAAGATATTGAAAACTTTGTCAATGAAGGGGTATATGAAGTTGAAAGACTGAAGGAAGATGGATGGATAACAGATATAAAATATGAAGACGAGGTACCATGACTTGTACATGTTTATTTGATTTTAAGATTATGAAAAAACATGGAAAATATTTTGATTTATATTCTCTCAGATACAACATTCGTAAAAAAAGGGAGAGAGAGCATATAATTAGATTGACTACTAGTATCAGGCAAAACAAATGTTGACAACCTTTTGGTTAGGTAATATTTGTATATTAGTTGTTGCTTTATGCACAAAATATAATTTGAAAAGCTTAACTTGATTGATATGCATGAAATATTGTAAATTTAGATAGTATTGGGACTGAGCTTGGACTTACAACTGGACCTAGTGCAGCAAACCGACTTGCATTCTTGTATTATCTTGTCTTGGAGATAAATGTAGAAAACATTACTAATATTAGTTTATTGAAAGATACACTTCACAGTGCAATGTACTTGAATAAGAAGCACGCTAGGTCTTGTTTTAGTGAAGTTCGTAAACCATTTTTTCATTATTAGAAGTAACTTACGTTTTCTGCTGACATATCAAATATTCAGCCGTCTCAATGTTAATGATGACAGAACAAGAGCAGGAAAATTATTTTACTGTATTTCTGGCCCTAGCCTGTTCTACTCAGGAAAAAATCTTACTAGTGTTTTCCTGTTGAAAAAATCAAAACAATCATTTGTAGCTGCGTTTTTAATGAATTTATTTTTTCTGCTTTTTGTGTTCTTCAATCTGAGTTTCTCTTTGCTATATACTGGTCATTCACATCTTTTTAGTAAGTTTCCACATTTCAGGTTGAGTCACTGCTAAAAGAACGTTTGGCAATTCCTAGCAGTAAAAAACTTCCTACGGTTGACTATAGGTATTTATATTTGAACTCTTATCAGATCCTCAAGAAGTATTTTAAGATTTTTGCATGCTTTCTGCATGGGTTTCGTATACTATTTCTGGACTGCTAGAGTGGAACTTCTTGGGACTTCACAAATAATCCTGATTATTGAAGTACTTCCAGTCAATTGTCTTCTTCAGTACTTACTTCGTTTTATTATTTATGTATTCATTTATTTATTTTTTCCAAACGGCCATCGGATGGGGAGTAGAGCAGACACCCAACCTGTTTTGGTCAGCACTCTTTGTTCTTACATGGGTTTCACACGAAGCATTCTTAGAACTTTTGAATAAAGTTGCTATAGTTGCCTTCAGTCACTAATATGGAATCCCCACTGCTTAAACATTTTTATTCGTCTCCATAAATTTAGACAGAAAAGGTCACAGATGTCTTCGAATTATGTTCATTTATGTGTATGTAATTTTTTACTCAAAAAAAAAAATGTGTATGTAATTTTCTTGTTAAAGAATGCCATTCCTTTTATTAAAGTATATTCTTTCCCAACACATGCAGAAAATACTGCCGTGTTAAGAAATGGACAATAGGATTAGCTGGTTCTAGAAATAGAATAGCTATAATCAGAGCCTCTGGAAGCATTAGCCGTGTAAGAGGTTCACTGAGTACATCCAGCTCCGGGATTGTTTCCGAGCAGTTCATTGAAAAGATTCGCACTGTAAGAGGTACATGCATTTCCCGTGTATGTGAACATAAGTTATATTTCTCCATTTTAAAACAGCATTCAATTGGTTAGAAAAGAAAGCCGATGCATACTGTAGTTCTTGGATTACTGTAAAAAATAGTCTGAATTATCTTTTTTTGGGTGCTTCACCGTTGTATTTGATTAGATACTTATCTTCTCATCTGATTTATACTATAAGGTCTTTTTTTCAGAGTCAAAAAGGTACAAGGCTGTTGTCCTTCGGATTGATAGTCCTGGTGGAGATGCCCTTGCTTCTGATTTGTAAGTGCCGTTAGATAGTTCTATTCCATTTAATTATTCTTGCCATTATCTAATATTTGTTTAACCTCATAGATTAACAATGTGTTAACAGAATGTGGAGAGAAATAAAGCTTTTGGCTGCCAAAAAACCTGTAGTTGCATCAATGGCTGACGTTGCTGCTAGTGGAGGATATTACATGGCAATGGCTGCACAGACTATAGTTGCAGAAAATCTTACAATAACTGGTTCAATTGGAGTTGTGACAGGTCTTATAACTCCCTCTCTCTCTCTTTTTTTGTCTTGCAAGAAATAAGAGGTTTTGAGTCAGAAGGTGGCAAGTAGTTGAGTTTTTCAATGAGGTTCGGATATTCATTTGTGAACCTTTTGGTTTCAGTAGAAATAATTGAGAACGAGTAGTTCGTTAACATGCCCAAATGTCAATAACATTAATGACTAGAACTTAAAAAGCACCTTTCTAGCATACGCACTAAAGCTACCTTATGGCACCTGTGTCCTATTTAAATCATAACTGAATCGTATTTGTTCTTTATTTTATATAAGAAAACTCCACCTAACAAAAATTTAAAGAGGCACATCCAGGAAAGTGTGAAGCATATCTTGGTTTTTCTCTTACTAAGATAGTGTTTATTTCTACATTGTTCAATATGTAAATTTGCCAAAAACATATGGATAACACAATCTTATGGAATTAGCATAAGCTAATGCGATCAAATAATGGCTCACCACCATTGGATACACAATGTCCATACTTAATGTACACATTCAGTACTACTGTGACAAACCAATCGATAAACTAAGTAGGTGCATTAATTAATTAGTGAATTAATCATCTAATAAATCCATATCCCGGTAAAATGGGATTGATGTATATCCCTTGAATACTTTATAGGTTTTGATTATGTTAAAAGTTCTGGCAATGTAGATTTAATTATTCGACATATCAAATAAGTTAAGTTGTCTAGTCTCAAGGAAAAGATGGCAATGTAGTTTATTTCGGGATTAATTACCTGACTGTTTTCAAATAAGTTCGTGTGGAGAGATTTCAAGTAATTTAAAAACCGGAGCATTTTTTTTTTTGGAGAATTATGATTTTATAAACAGGAGAAATCGTTACATTCGGGTCTTGTTAAAACCTTGCTCCAATCAAGGAAAAAGAAAACCGGAACTCAATAATATAACTTTGAGATTATGGGTGATATAATATTTAGTGAAATAAAGACCAAATGATTGATTAAATTTATTGGAGTGAGAATTCAAATTTAATTCATCATTGGATTGCTACCATATTTTTTCACTTTGGTCCCTATGTATCCCGTTTGCAGTTGTGCGTTTGTCCTAGACATAAAAAATCGACACATATAATATTTTGTAAGAGAATTCGAATTATAGAATTTCTTGTTTGATAGGGGTTGGAATTTGATAGTTAGTGTTTTCTAGTCTCCTAGTTGAATTCCGCATGAAACTCTCCTCTGCCTATAAAAGCTGCCTAAGGGATGAACACACGACTTCTTTGATTTGTGTGTCATATTTTCAGCTATCATTTGCTGAAAAAAATATTTCACGTAGTGTGTGTTTATTTCGGTAAAAGATAGGGAGTCATCCAACTCGATTAATCTAGAAATTATATAGATTTGTAGTAGGTAGAAATTCTACAAGTTTCGGCCTACTCTAATGGTAGAAATATGCATTCCGAGAATACGGTAGAAGATCAAGAGGTTGGTTTTGATTTTGATTAGAAGACGGTGTAGGATCGTATCTGAATCCAAATGTTGGTTTTGGTTTTAATCCGCACAAAACTAGGAACCACATTTTAACCGTAATCATTGGGACCTGGAATCCGTTTCCGAACAGGATATCATAACTAGGTAACAATATTTTTTTATAACAAACACGACATTGAAGAATTGTGCCAATCATAATTATCTTTCTAATGAAAACACAAATATCAATTGTATCTGAATGTTGCTATCATTGAGAACGTGCCAAACATATCGTATATGGTAGCCTGTTTCTCCTGGAATCATATGAATGCTTTTTAAGAAATGCGGAAATAATTCGTTCATTATCTGAACAAACAGTTCACATTCCACATGTTTTTACAGTTTATTGATACTTTTGCTAATTTTCTCCTAGGGAAGTTTAATTTGGAGAGATTGTATGAAAAAATCGGTTTTAATAAGGAGATCATATCAAGAGGAAGGTATGCCGAGCTTACTGCAGCTGATCAACGACCATTCAGGTATGTTGAATATTGTTGCAGAGGAACATATCAATTTGTACTTCTCATTAATTTAGAGAACGGTCACTCTTTCAAATGAGCCTCAACTTAGTGAAGTTATGCACATGCCTCTTATCGTAATTACTGTAATTTTTATCCTCTCCTCGCCAGTATATCAATATTAATTTAAAGAATGGACACTTTCACAAATGGGCCTCAAATTTGTGAAGTTTGCGCACAAGCCCCAAAATTCTTTTTGCAGAACATCTCCAAATAAGACTAGCAGTCTATTCACCATTTTGTTTAAAATCAGGCATTGATACTTTTTTAACTGAAGTTATTTGAAATATTTCTTTCATTATTTGCCACTCTTTCTCTCTCCCTCTCCAGCTTCATTGTCACCGTGTATATTCATTTATTGTATTTCAACTAAATTCCAGGTTAAAATGGTTCTTTTGTTACTACCGTTTATGCAATTATTTCATCTCAATTTCAGTTTGATTCAAGCTTGTGATCTGTTTCCTTTTAGGTAGATTTCTTATGAATTAGTGTATTGTTTGTGTTTTCCTAATCAGGACTGATGAAGCAGAACTCTTTGCAAAATCCGCACAGAGTGCATATAGAAGTTTCCGGGACAAGGCAGCTTCTTCTAGATCAATGACTGTACGGTATTCAGTAACGTACTATGATTGCCTATTCATATTATACATTTAAGATCCTTGATATTCAAGTACCCCGTGTTTTATTTAGGTAGACAAGATGGAGGAAGTTGCTCAAGGGAGAGTGTGGTCTGGCAATGATGCTGCTTCGCGAGGTCTAGTTGATGCTATTGGCGGCATATCTCGAGCTGTGGCAATAGCAAAACAGAAGGCTAATATTCCATTGGACGAACAGGTTATTTTCGAAATCATAATTCTGTTGATTCTAGTCCTTTTAATTCGTTTCTTTATTCGTCCACTTGAGAATAATATTTTTCATCCAAGACATGAAAATATGTGAATTAGGAATACTTGCAGACACATCCCCTGAGATTCCATGTAAATATAGATACAACCCTTTGGTTTAAATAAATGGTCACATTTACTACCCCACAACTAAACAAATAACCCTTGTGAATAGTTACATGAACCTCTCCTAAGATTTTTGAATTACAGAATCCCTAAAATTTTTTGTTAGTTATCATACATATATGTTTACCGTTTGTTCTTAGTGTGCTTTTTTAATTACCTCGTGTTTATTTAAAGTTCTCTGAGATTTTTTCCAATTTATACCAACTACTTTACCTTAGTAATTTGCGTAACTGGATTATTTCTATTCAAGCTGGCAGAATTTCAAAACTCAATTACACATATCTTCATTTTCTGTATCACGATATCCAAATTCTGTATCTTCATTTTCTGTATCTTTTTCATAAATTGATGAGCATCATAGTGCTGTTGTCACAATCACATGAATAATCGATTAACTTCTTATCTCTAATCACTCCATTTTTAGAAGTTAATATGAATTATTTTAGTTTGAGAGCAAGCATAAGTTTGCATGCATGTGAAGAGGAGAAGAGAAAACAATCCAAATCAATATTCGGATCAAGAATAATGTCGTAAACCTGAATTAAAAAATTTCAAGATTCAGCTTAGTTTGTGTTTTAAAGTGCCATAGGAACGTTCAGGATAATTTTTATTACTATTATTATGTTCTATTAGAATATGCTACAAATGTCTAATTGTAAATTAAAAAGATGAAGAGATGCAACTGTAATGCGACAAAACCTTAGTGGAGGTCAACGTAGTTCGACAAACCTCTACCGAAACACGTGCAATTTTAAATTCAGGGAAAACGAATTACTTAATGAAAATGTTTAAAAAGTGTTAAGGGAGGTGGATGTGAAAATGAAATTCTACATACTGTATTTAGACTAAATTATGGTATTAGTATGTAACGATCGAGTGTTTGTAATGTGTTGTCAAAAATCAGGTAACTCTTGTTGAGATATCGAGGCCTTCAACATCGTTATTTGACATATTGGGGGGATTTGGTAGCTCAGTTGCTGAAGCAGACAAAGCGATTAAGGAGTTGATGCAGCTCATGTCTTCGTCTGATGGAATTCAAGCCCGAGTTGATGGAATCGTGTTGGAGCAACTTGATGGAGCTTCTTATGCCAATATCATATTTACTTTGTTGAAAGACTGCCTCAGCTCTTTCTAGTACACTCTTTTCCAAATTCTTCTTTGTATACTACATCCTTGATTATAAATGTGTTTTGTTGATGGTGCAAAGGGCAGTTGTCTACAAAGTGATCGAGTTCTGATATCGGAGGCCCTATTTGCAAGTGGAACTGCTCTGCTAGTAGGATATACACACATGATTAAGTTATTTGTAATGTTTCTATATATTCATGGGAATGGTTGTGTCTTGGTTTCGACACTGTTACCAAGCTGCCAATGTAAGACTACTAAATTATTTACAGAAACATATGAACTCCACCTTTTATTTTAGGGGACAATCCTGATTTTTTAATTTTTTATTTTGACATACTGCGCTCCCTTACCTTTCCTCTATTTTTTATTTAGGGTAAATAGCACTTATGACTTAACCCCATGTGGTTTGAACATTTTATACATGACCCCCTTGTGGTTTTGACATTTTGCACATGACCCCCTTATGGTATAAAATTATGCACATAACCCTTTTGTGGTTTTGACATTTTGCACATGACTCCCTTATGGTATGAAATTAGGCACATATCCCATAAATTATATTTGACTACTATTTATGACATCAATATATGACTACTATTTATAGTGGAGCAAATTTAATTGTTTGTCGCCTTGTCATTTGGAAAAACTATATTTGCACTTCCCCAAAAACAATATCATAATATATTTAATTGTGTATTGCATGTCTTTTCCACCAATAGATTTTTCATGCCACGCTTCCCGAAATAAAGTATTAATATTTTTCTAAAAGAAAAAAAAGATTTAATTGTAACTTTTGACATATCTATTCATGACATTTCTTTTCAAATACAATAGCTTCTTAACATTTTGAAATGTTAAAAAAAAGATTTAATTGTTTGATGACACATTTTGTCATCTGAAGGTATTAGTCCTGCATTTTTCTCAAAAATAATATCATAACATTTTTGCAAATCTTGTCAGCCGATTAGATTATTCATGGCACATTTCACGAAAAACATTATCATAACATTTTTCTAAAAGAAAAAAAAAATAATTGTTTGATGACATATCTTGTCATCTGAAGAGACTATCCATGGCCCTTTTCTAAAAAAATCAATATCATAATTATTTAGCTAAAAGAAAAAGGAAATTTACGAAAAGATTATTCATAACATTTTTTTCCTAAAATACAGCAGCTTAACATTTTGCTAAAAGAAAAGAAAATGATTGCTTGATGGTATTTTTTATCCTCCGTAACAATATACTATCACCCATAACCTACACTTTTTCCAAGAAATAATTCACCCGTGATCTTATCACCCCAGAAATATTTTTAATAGGGATGGCAATGGGTACGGGTTTGGCGGGTCTTGGACCCGGAACCGACCCGTTTGGGGCGGGTCTGGGTCAGCTAAATGGTTATGGGTCGGGTTACGGGTCTTATTGGAACCGACCCAAAACTGACCCGTATCAGCTAAATGGTTATGGGTCGGGTATCGGATTTCATCTATCAAGCTATCAATTTCCGTCTTGTCTATTCTCATTTACCTATTTTCACTGTTTTATTTTTCGAATCTCATTTCTCGTGAGTAATATTTATTACTTGTCGACCACCGCTAATTATCTTGCATTTTGAATTTTACTTATTATCGAAGTTAAATATAATTAATTGTAATTTTATTATTCATGTTATGTCACTTGTAGAGATTTTTTAAAATATTGTATTTTAGTATTGAGATTATATCGTAAAAAATACAAGCAAAATGTTATGAAAGTTAAAAAATATTAAATTTTTTGTATGTTAATGGGTCTAGCGGGTCTGGCGGGTCAGAACCGTTTAGTTAGGGTCTGGGTTGGGGCGGATCTGGGTCTAAGCTAAAGCGGGTTGGGGCGGGTCTTGAGTTTATATATTTTTCGTGGGTCGGGTCTTGGGTTTAGGCGAACTCGGCCCAGAACCGACCCGTTGCCATCCCTAATTTTTAATCACATATTTATGTATAAATAGTTTCTTTATATGACACAAATATACCAACTCACAAAATATACAAATAACATTTTCCATACCACAACTTATGAATTCGTCATCTGGATGGCTTCCACAAGATGAGTTAACATATTTTCAATCATCAAGTTCTTCATCCACATCTTCAGAAAATGAAGAGATTGTTTCCATTCGTATCGAGAAAGAGACTCAAGAGATGGTTAATTTGATTCCTCGGATATATCAAGCACACGCAAAACAATCATCGCAACGATGATATATTAATCGTGATCGTGAAAGAAGTCACCAACAATTGTGAGATGATTATTTTTTTGATAATTGTACTTATCCTGGTGATTATTTTCGCAGACATTTTAGGATGCGCAAAGAGTTATTTTTTCGGTATCTTGAATGATGTTCAAAATCATAACTCATACTTTATCCAAAAAAATATGATCGTGGCCGCGTTGGCCTATCATCTATTAAAATAATAACTGCTGCACTTCGTATACATGCTTATGGTTTGTCTGCAGATAATTGTGATGAATATCTAAAGATTGGACTGACAAGTGCAATAATGAGCTTAAAGACTTTTTGTTCCTCGATAATTGAATTGTACGAGGAACAGTACATGCGCTCGCCAAATGAACATGATATTGCACGTTAACTACAAGAAGGTGAATCACGAGGATTTCCAGGTATGTTTGGTTATTTATATTGTATGCATCTGGTTGGCACGACACACACAGAGTCATCATCACAAACCAACTCTAATTTTAGAAGCAGTTGCATCCCATGACCTTTGGATCTGGCATTCATTTTTTGGCATGACGGGTGCAAATAATGATATTAATGTCTTAGATCATTCGCCATTATTCGACAAATTCACATATGGCAAAATGCGTCCAATCAATTATACAGTGAATGGGCATTCATATACAATGGGATATTACTTAACCAAAATATGCAACTCTCATTCAAACCATTCCTTATCCGACCACTGCAAAAGAAAAAATTATTTTGCTACAAAACAAGAGGTTGTCCGAAAAGATGTAGAACGTACATTTGGTGTTTTACAAATTAGGTGGGGCATTACACAAGGACCCGTACGAGGGGCATTACACAAGGACCCGTACGATATTTGTCAAAAGAAGATCTCTGTAAGATAATCAAAACTTGCATTATCCTTCATAGTAGTGATTATTAAAGATGAACGCGAAACTGGATACGACTTATGAGAACCTTTACCTGAAGAAAATATTTTTCCTCCCGAATATGGTCGAGATCCATCAATTATTGTGTCTTACATCTCAGCACGTCTTGGTCGGATTCGCAATCGGGGAACTAATAAAGTCTTGCGATCCGATCTTACGAATCATTTGTAGAGTATCTTTAGAGATGAGGATGGTTAAATAATATTATTTTTCTATGTTGTCTTATTTTCATATCTGAGTTGTAATTTCTTTATTTTTATAATTTTGTATCGTAGTTTATATTATAATAGGTTTTATTAATGTTCAATTTAAAGTTACTTCCATTTTATTATTATTGATTACAAATTGTTGAAATACTTAATTACTATAAAAAATAATTAAGGATATGAATTAACAAATAACATAGAATTGAATTTTATTTATTAAATATATCGTTTTTCGTTTGTTCACTTCGATAAGCAAAAAAGTTAAACTTTAAATTTTACTAGCATTTAAAATTTATAATATTTCAGTTATCATTTAAATATATACATAAATTAAAGTTAAACAAAATAGAAATAAAAGAACAAGTAAATGATATAAAAAAAATATTGGTAAAAAATAAACGGGCCCACATACATTTGCTAGTGTGCTTCATAACCGGCGATGAGTTTAGTTACTCCTCAATTTTGAAAAGGGTAATAATATACGCAGGCCAAATTAAACATTCAGGCACTTTTTTACCATGATTTTTTACCTTTTTACCATAACTATTTACCTTTTGTACTCGTGCGATTTTACACGAACAGGTGGTACCTGCTCGTTTAAAATCACACGAGCTATTTAATTTTTTTTTTTAAATTCTAAAAAATTTGTTTTTTTTTTAACCCACTCGTGTGATTTCACACGAACAGAGAAGGTATGCTCGTGTGAAATCACACGAGCAGAACGTCTCTGTTCGTGTGAAATCACACGAGCAATTAAAAAAAAAAAAAAATTAACAAGGCCTGCTCGTGTGGATGTACACGAGCGCAGTGGATGCGCTCGTGTAAATTCACACGAGCAGGCCAAAGTCCGATTTTTTTTGTTTTTTTTTTTCGGATTCGTAATCTACATAACAAGAGGATCGTAAAAACGTAAAAATTACCTCCGTTCTGTTGACGATTTGCACGGGGTTTGGGAAAGAAAATCGAAAGGTTGAGAGAGTTTTTGAGTTTTTTCACTTTTTGTTTTTTGAAGAATGGTAAAAAATGTGCCTGACTGTTTAATATGTGCCTGCACAAATCATTTCAGAGAGCTAGTAACTATTCCACTGCAGCTCAATTTCCTCTCCAATTTTTACTGAGGCTTAAAGTCTGACACAAAAAGGGCTTTTAATGAGGTCTGAACATGCCCTTAAAAAAGAGTGCATGTTAAGTCGAACTGAAATGCTAAATCTCACACGAAAATTACTAAATCATGCACATAATAAAATTTTCTTCTATCTCTAAAATCCTATTTGTGTCGGTCTTTTTCTGTGCCCGAAACAAGTTCTTCCTTTCCCCTCATGCTTACACAAAAAACATCATAAAAATAATACTATAATTCGAGAATCGAACTTGAAGAAAATCTTCTCAAATTTATTCTGCGATCAAGGTTATCATTCTATCTCAACTTTATTCTACAAATTGCGCAGCAGGATTTTTTGTTGGGGCAGTGGGGGGTGCGGGTGGGTTAAAACTACTTTAGAATTAAATAATTAGAAATTTAATAAATTATTGAATACATATTTAATAAATATTGAATAAATTTTAATACTGAATAAATGTTAAAACTACTTTAGAATTAAATAATTAGAAATTTAATAAAAATTGAATACATGTTTAATAAATATTGAATAAATTTTAATAAATATTTAAACATTTCGGTAACTTCATAATGCTGCTGCGAGAGTTGTTTAAAAAGACAATACTTCGAAGCCGATGATGATTATGCTTTCCGTAAATCATAGAGAGTTCTCATTTACCCTCTGCTTGTAGAACCCATTTGGTTGGAAACCACAATTACATTTTTTCATGCTAATACAAATTGTACTTTCTACATCTGTATTCTTTCGTTTCCCCTACTTTTTCCCAAACCGATCACAGGTGACGTATATCCTATCACAAAAAGTATGACTTATACTTAACTTAATACCATGGCTTTTAGCTGTGTCTCTTGCCCACCGTATTAAATCGTCTCTACAATTAAACAATTGTACTCCTCGAAAATATTTAGAATAATGAACTTTCCCATTATCCTGAAAAATAAATAAAATATGACAAAAACTAATTTTAAAAAAAAAGGGATTGCGTCTAAAGTAGAAGCGGACGCGTCAAAGACTGTTTTGTCTTCCACATTGTCCGCCCTCTGCGTATGACGATGTTTTGGCAAAAAAATTAAGATCTTCCATCCGATTGAAGTGGATTGTCGTTAGAAGGTATTGAAATCATTAGGTGATGCTTATTACGTAACAAAAAACGACTTTTGACGACTTCTTAGTATTTTGAATACCCTAGAAAAAAGTTAGAGAGAAGTCGAGAAAATAGAGCGTAGAGAGAGAATATTTTTTTTATTTGTGTGCGGGATTTAGTAATTTTTAGTGTGAAAAACCTAGAAAAAAGTTAGAGAGAAGTTAGAGAAAATAGAGCGTGGAGAGAATATATTTTTATTTATGTGCGGGATTTAATATCTTTTAGTTATGATTTAGCACCTCCTAAGTTGAAAGGTTGAATTCCACTTTGCACTTTCAATACACAATGAATTATTCACAATGCACCCTGAATTGAATAATGAAGGCAAATTTTTTTTATTGGTTTTTTTTAGGGATGCAAAATAAAACATAAATTATTATTTTCTTCAACCTCCAACCTAATTTCGAGCGCAAAAAGTGTGGAAAAAAAAAAACACCGGATTATTGAAAAAACTATATTTTCTTACAAAATAAAATAAAATAAACTTTTATCACTAAATTATTCGATTGATGGATTTTTTTTTTATTGTAACTAGTGGAAATATTAGGTAAAAATATTTGGAAGAAAATATAATTTTCAGATAACTTGATAACGAAATAGCAAGGATTTTTTTTTTCGTAAAATATTTTATTGGGATAAAAAATATAATTTTTAAATAAGTTGATGAGATGCATTTTTATTTATGCACTTTATAGTTTCAAAATGATTGATGAATAAAATAAATTATTTGACATTTGTCATCCTAAAAACTACCACTAAAAATATTAAATTATATTTATTAGCTTTAAAAATTTATTTGGGGTGCATTATGCATGATTTATTATGTTTTGAGGGTTCAAAGTGCTATTAATTTATTTCGAGGTGCAAAGTACCAAAATGGCATATTTTAAGGGTGCAAAGTGGGATTAAGCCTAAGTTGAAATATCATATGTAGGGGTTAATTTTGAAAAAGAAAAGGTGAAAGAGAAGTGGAATACCTTTCGTTTAGGAATGCGAAGTCAGAAGTACATATCCAAATTGAAAGTTGAAACCGGGTCGAGCAGCAACTTCTCTCTCCTGTTTCTGGCGCTAAACAAATGCTGAAATTTCATTTTTCAATTTGAACTCTCTCTCTCTCTCTCTCTCTCTCATCAGCAAAACATACAGAAATGGCAGCAGACAACAGCGAAGCCATATTCGAATCCTTGAATCTGAGCCCACAACTGTTCATCAATGAGGTCCTCAATATCGTTGACGATCTGCTCCAAGAGGCTTTCACTTTCTTCCTCCAGTTAAACCCTCTCTCTCTCTCTCTCTCTCTCTCTCTCTCTCATCACTCTTTTCTCCTTTCTCTACTCAAATTTTATCTCTTCCTTAATTTTGCATTTTCCTTTTCTTCTATTTAATTTGTTGCAGGGAGGCTTCTAAGCTGCTGAAAACTGAGAGCACTGATCGTTCCACGGAATTGAGCAAGGTATTTTTGTTGATTATTTCTGTTTCCCCCTGATGAATTTGTAAATTCTAGGGTTCTTAGTTGTTTTTATTTGCTTTCCAGATATATATAGGGTTTTCTACGTTTGGGACTGTAAGCATTAATTTCGTTGGTGATTCTTGTTTTGAATGAATAGGGTGTGGCATACCTTCAGCATTTGATTCTATTGACCCTCGACCAGCGAATGCAGAAGTGGGAGGAATATTGCCTTCGATTTTGTTTTCGTGTGCCTGAAGGATTTTCTCTGCCAAAAGCTGTATGTTCACTAGCATCCGCTTGAAATGTTATTTTTTGTTTATTTTCCATTATAGTTTTTTTCTTGATTATCTTAATTGGATTAAATCTGTGAGATACTGCGTTGGAGATTCTTTATGATGATCTGTCTAAAGCCATTTTCATATGGTTTTGATCTGTTTTCCTAGGAGCAGTTGGTCTAGTCTAAATAAATTGTCAGAATAATTAGACTAGCTTAGTCATGAAGGTAATGGAGACGGACAGGCAATAGAAGTATTTTTTTAGTTTGTGGTGTTTAGTACATTAAGGCCCTGTTTGGTTGCCAAGATAAGCTAAGATTAACTAAATAGTTGGATTTAATATGATGTTTGGTATCCCTAATAAATTGCCGGGTCGACCCGCCAAAATTATGTAATCATGGCTTATCTTGCCTTATCTTGGATTATCTTGCCTTCTAGTGAGTTTTTTTTGTTGGACGTCGTGAGCTCCAATAAAATAATTGGGTTTCATTAGATTATTTAATTTTATCTTGGCTAATCTTGTCTGTCCAACCAAACTGGGCCTAAGAAGAATGGAATATTTTGTAAGGACTTGGGGAAGAAGTGAAAATATTTCGCTTCCACTACGTAAGTGGGGAAAGTAAAATTTCATCCCAATTCCAACGAGACTATTTATTTTCAAAATTTATTTTTTGCATTAACCGGTCATCCAAGGATAATGTTCTTCCTCACATTCAGACTTGATCTCATGTTTTAAAGGCACAAGTCGATGCCGTTTTTAGACCATTGCTGACTGAAACCAATCCATAAGGTCCACTGTTTTACTTTTATTACAATAATTTTTTTAAAATGATAGATTGTCTCTGAAGCAAAATAATAGGAGGGATTTTGATAATCTAGAAAATAAAAAATGCACAACAAATAGACGAAAAGAGATGTGCCCAAGTAAAATGTCATGTCTCTTCTCCGACACATAATTGTTCTGCAGCCTTGCCATCAGCCAGCTCTACCTACCTCTGATACTGTTCTTTTCCTTTTCCTTTTTATTTTTTTTATTTTTCTCTCTTGGTCATCACTTTTGCATTTCACTCTGTTATGGTAATATTTTTTTGCCTTGGCTATTTAACGACTTATGGTCTCAAGAACCCATGTTTCCTACTCCGTACGAGCTTGAAGCATTAGTTCTGTCCTTTTTCTCCCTACAATACCATACTGTTTCAGATTATTTCTGATGCGGCACCAAATTAAGTTCTGAAGAGTATTATTCTACTGTACAGAAAGCTAGAATGCATATTTGTTAATAAAGGAATCCCTTGAGGCAGACTGGTCTAGATATGTTATGTTCCAGGTGAAAAAGGCTGCAAATACAAAAGTATACAAGTTAAAAGAAATAAGTAGATTCTTTTTTAGATGAAGAAAAAAAATGATATATGATATAGAAAACAATTGCTTGTCAGTCACAGGATGATATTGAAGATTTAACAGACTCCCAAATATTTGATCTCCTAAAGTTCGTTAAGAGTGCGTGTATCTTAGATCTAAAGGAACTGTTTAAGGTAAAAACCGTTGTCCCAAGTCTGATACTAGTCTAAAACCAGAAATAATCTGTTGTCCTAAAAAGGAATTACTTATATCTGAGACCCCTAATGCTTGATATCGAGTGAAGCTTTAGAACTTTCTTTTTCCAAAACCTGCACTACAAGCAAGTTACTTAACTTGGTAAGTTTCTTAATGTTGTTAGATCACATAAACGTGTTATAAATCGTGTAATTGTTCATTTTATAATGGTTGTTCAGTTTTGCCATTTGTTCAGAGCAAATATCAATAATAGCACAAATAGCCAAATACTGTAACTGCGTACAATCTAAATGAAAAAAATGAATGAATCAATTTCTCTTAGTTACTTCCCTTTGATATTATATCCTTTCGGATTTTTTCATTGTAGAATGAGTCGTCTGGAAGTGATTTACCAGAACTCGATGGTCTCACTGATACAGAGCTGGACGCACAGTTGACTTCTCTGCGTGGCAAGCTTGCTCTGGTAACATGAATCCTTCAGATTTTATTAACTTCCTCGTTTGTGGAAAATAATGTTTGTGATTATCCTTACAGATGATCTGTGTCCTTAAAAAATGGAATTTATGAAACAGGTCGGAAAAGAGTCTGCTGAACTTGTCAGAGAAGTCCATGCACTGGAGAGGCAGTCTGTGTCAACTAGTCTGCCTGCAGCGTCTATTGATGAAGCTTTGCAAGTTTACAAGGACCATGATTCCACTCAGATTTTCGAAGGTACTCTAATTTTGCTTTTCATAAGTATGACTCTATTTAGGTGCATTGATATAATAAAAGTACCTTTATGTGTTCAGGGTAAAATAATTTTATTTTTGTATTTGGTTCATAAGATAGATGTTAGATACATTAGGTTGTATCATGGCAACATGGGCTAGGAGTGTAAATGACTCGAGCTCACTACTCGAGCTTCCTAACGAGTTCAAGCTTGAACCCGAGCTCTATTGTTCATGAGCTCACGAGCCAACTCATAAGCTATTCTTTTTTCTATTTCTTTTTTTAAATTACAAGTATAAGCAATATAATAATAAAAATATCGAAATAATATTGGTATAAATAATCATTGGTTTTTATGTGCTTTTTTGAATATTAAAAAATCAGAAATAAGAAGTTTATAACAATACTAAAAAGTTTAGCTCAAAGCTCGAACCTAAGTATGAACAGTCATACTTGAGCACCAAATAAGCTGAACTGGGTTAGAGGGCTTGCTCAAACATCAATCGTCATTAAGAGTATTTTACGGTTTTGCAAGTTTATAAATTAAGAAATGTTTGATTTACTCATTTACATTTAATTCATAAATTATATATTGAAAGTAGGACATGGCCTAGTCGTCATACTGAAAATAAAATATCATGTGAATATACAATAGCTTATCGCAATTTCACCAATCTTTGGTGCTATCATTCCCAAATTTTCTATGTACACACAAAATTGCATATAAACCAGTATGTGCACTGTTTTTGCCCTAAGAAATTAAGTGAAGAGTTACAAGTACAAGTACAATGCCAAAGAGGAATAAATGAGAGGAAATGATTGGAGATACTTTTGCAAACCAACGACATCGGCAAAAACATTAACATGTTCAAGCCAATTTCCGATAGTAAACACCCTTGGAGTCGAGCCTGTTTTCCTTTAGTTAACTGTCCCTTTTAAAATAAAACCAAGAACATGTATCTAGAAATAATTAGTTCTTTGTAATAAGATATGTAGATGTACCTAGAAAGTTATGATGATATGTATTTGAAAGAACTATTGTTCAAATATGTTTTATGTTATAAAAAGCTCTAGCTGATGTACGAGTCCAATAGCGGGGTCATGAATACCTTCATACCAGACTTATGTAGCATTTGTCAACATACTGGTACATAAGATTATGCCTCAATTTGTTGGATATTTTTATGTTGGCTTGTTTCTTTTTTCGTAATCAGCATTTTTTACCAGATGGGAGAGTTTTTTAAGGATCGTTTTCTAATTTCAATTTGTTGCATGATCTCATTGTCAGCAAATAGCCTTTTGAGGGCTGAATGGTATAAGCTTCCAAGTCATAATCACTTTGACCAATCCAATAATTTCATTTACCATTGTTTTGCAGTACAACTTGCTATCTGATCTGGATGTGGCTTCTGTGTGACAGACCTTGTGATTTATGTATCAATGTCAATCACTTTTTGCTATTAATTTGCGTTTAGTTTTTTTTTTTTTCTTTCTGAAATTAGTTAGAGAAATAAATATGAATTGATTTGGTTGTTTATGTGTGTCCTAAAATGGGTGGAACGAACATCTTCAGTAGTTGATAATTACATTGTTTTGAGCGTAATATGCAGAGCTGAAGACTATGGCATTAGAATTCCACAAGAAAATCGGGAATCTGAAAAGGAAAAGAATCGAGGAATTTCAATGTGATAGAGTAGACAGATTAAATGTAGCAGCACATGGGGATTTGCTCAGAATGCCTCGTAGCAGCGGTAACTGTTGTGCATAAATAGTGTTCTTTTTGTTAAACGAAACTCAACTTGTCCTTATTATTAATTTAATTTAAATTTAATTTTGTAGGTCTGTTTGGTGCAAAGCTGGAAGAACTTGAGAAGTTCTTAGATGAGATGCCTACTAGATGATATGCATGATTAAATACCACCGCATCTAAGTATTTTTATTTATTAGTTAGCATCAGGTTACCAACCCGTAATTTGACGGACCCACCCATCGGGTCGGGTTTGGGTTTGTGTTTGTGTTTGTGTTTTGCCTTGTTTTAGTTTTCCATCATCGGCACTGGTGTTTGATTTTGGCTGCTAAATGGTGTTTTGGATTTCAAATTGAAACCTGACTCCAACTTTATATATTCAAACATCTAAACCTCACTTGTTCCAGATTCCAGATTTTAAATTCAAATATTACGAGGATAAAATAAAAAATCAATGCATAATGTGAATCAATCTCAATGTCTCTTTATCTAATTTTCTTTTTTTTCCCATATTGAGCCTTCACAAGCTTCTGTGAGCTTTAAATAAATATCTACAATGGGTGAAGGACTTGAATTATTTCAAACAAAAATCTGATTTCGTTTTATCACTCCAACAGTGCTTGAGCAAAAAATCATTTGCTCAACTTCCTCCTTGCAGTTGCAGTTGCAGCGGCAAGGTGTAACTAACGATCTGGGTGTGTCAAATGTAATTACCTCTAAAGGCATATTGTACACCCGTCTCAACTAACTGCGTTGCACAATCAACTAGTTCAATCTTTTTTAGAGATTCAGCAAGCTCCATCGGGATCTCTTTCAATTTGTAGCAGTGCTTTATGACAACCAACCGACTCAAGCACACGTAGGCATTTATAATCTCGGGATATTCATTGCTCGAGATCACTGTCTTCAATCAGAAGATGCTTAAGCCTTCGAAAGTCCTTCCAACGAACTTTCCATTTTGGGCCTCGAAAGGCGTAGCACCGCAGTTTGAGCACTTGAAGATTTGACAACAAAGAAACCTTGTTTATATCTTCCCACGGATGTCCAAAGCCGTTCAACGTTAATTTTTCAAGACTTGTTGAGTAGATTGAAAGAGGAGCAACAACCTCAGTCTTCATCAATATAGGATTCACAACTACACATTTAAGCGATTTTAGCTCGTGGAGATGGGAAATATGATCAAAGCAGCTCAAGGGTTGATGACTATTATCAGGAGACAATTCAATTCGGATTCCTAACTTTCGTAGATAAGGGATTTTTTCAAGAACATTTAAGGTACAAGTTTGATGACACACGTCTAAAAGTGTCAAGAGGTTTGGTAAGAAAGACCCCTCACAAGGATTTGGTAGGTTGCTTCCCATGACCTGAAGATGCTTTAGTTCTTTCATATCCCATATCTCCATAGGCAGATTTGAAGAATTCCCATAAGATTTTACGATGCTCAATTTTCGATGGGCAATCAAGTACTCAAGGTTCCAAAGCTGATATGGAAGAAGGTAGATTTCCATTGTAAGTGACGGCAAGGTACCTTAGTTGGACTAATTTCAGTACTTGGATTGGGAACTCATAGAAATGGATTGAAAGAGCATCGAGTACCGTCAACAACATCAAACTGAGACATATTGGTACCGGATATTGATGATATGGACCGGTTGGTACATAGGAGAGAACGCACCATTGAAATTGACTCCATTGACTCAAACGCATCTTTGATGGAAAATAAAGTACTATTGCGAATGCACAACCGGCGTTGGTATTTTATACCCTTTTTGGGTTTAGCTTCAGCAAGACTATTTAAGGCATAGAAAAACTTGTTCTTATGAGCTTCTTTGTTACAGAGGTGCCAAAAGGAAGAATGGAGGCTAGCAGTTTTAATTTTGCCATAGAATCCCCGCTCACCGACCATGACAAGACTATTGAAAACAAGTTTCTCAAAGTATTCAGGAGTTGAATCCCTGTCCAATTCAGTAATTCCCTCAACCATCCACAGATTGTATAGCTTGGAGCAAGAGACCTCCGTTTTTTCAGGGAAAGTTCCCATATAGAGAAAGAATGATTTCAAGTGTTGAGATAAGTAGTTGTAACTTAGAAGTAATACCTTGTACATTTGATCATATGCATTCATGAAAATTCAGTTTTGTTTCTGATCAGCTATCTCGTTCCAATACTCTGCTGTCTTCTCGGCTTTGGATAGTATGTTGGCAACGATGACAATTGTAAGAGGAAGACCTTCGCATTTCTCTGCAATCCTCTTTCCAGCTTTCTCGAGTTCGTAACAGCACGGTTCTTCAAAACCAAACACCTTCCCACAAAGAAGATCCCAACTTTCTTTCTTATTGAGGAACCGTATTGTGTAAACACAACTCTGATGGCTAGCATATCTAGCTACTTGATGTAGCCTAGTTGTGAGCAATATTTGGCTTCCATTATTGTCGTCTGGAAAGAAATCGACCAAGTCCTTCTACAGTTGCCCGTCCCATATATCATCCAACACGATGAAGTATCTCCGATCCATTAAACTTGAGAATATGATTCTTTTAAAGGCAGATAATTCTATCGCTTGTCCTTCCAGTAATGTTTTCCAATCATCATCATCGAACAAGTCGGGATTCACTAGTTGTTTTAGAATAACTAGCAAGACCCTTTGTAATTGATATTTCCGGCCAATGGTGACAAAAGCACACCTGTGAAAACGTCTCGAAATGAAGGGAGCGTGAAAGAGTTTCTAGGCAAGAATAGTTTTCCCAATGCCAGCCATCCCGACAAGGGAGACAGGTGTAAGATCTGAATAGTTGGTCGTGAGTCGATCTTTGATTTCCATAAATTGATCGGATAATCCAACCATCTTTGAGTACTCATCATCTCCACCAAACTCATCATTTTCATCTTCTTCGGGTGACATGTTGCGTAACTCGTGAATGTAGGCCTTCATTAACTTGTTTACCTTTTCGGTAAAGGAATGGATATCTTGTTGTGAAAGAAACTGATTTGAGAGGTGGGAATGATCAAGAGTGTCTTCTAATTCGCATACCGTTTCTCTGATTTGTTCATCTAAAGCATTCACCATCTTTCTGTTGATGCTGCTGTTGCTGCTCTCCATTTCCTCGAGAACTTGTTGCAACGAACAAACCTCCTCGTAAACAACTTGTATTCTTCCTGGAGATGAAATTACAACTGCCGAAATATGACCAGAATTTACAAGCTGATGTTCAATTCTCTGTTTTAGAGAAATCACTGCTGCATAAGCCATCTCTCTCGATCTCTCGATCCCGACTCAACTCAACCAAGATTCAGTAAACTGACAGTAAGTTCATAGGCAAAAAATGCTTATGATCAAGTTAATATTGTTTTTTTTTGTTTGTTTTCCTATAAAAAGAAAAAAGTTAATATTGTTTTGCAAAGATTTTCAATGAGAATTGAATAGTGAATCAGAATTTTAAAGTAGACATGAGAGGGAGTTGGATTGGGAATTAATGAGATAAAACTTTTAGGGTGCATTTGGATGGAGGGATTTGGGGGAGGGATTTCAAATCCATAATAACAAATCCCTCGGACTTGTTTGGATTGAGGGATTTGGAGATGGATTTCAAATCCCCACCCCTCCTTTTTAGTTGATTTTGGAGCAATAGTGATGGATTTCAAATGACTCCAAAATAGGAGTCATTTCAAATCCATTCTCCAAATCAAATCCCTCCCCAAATCCCTCCATCCAAATGGACCCTTAAATATTGAAAAAGAAAAAGGTTGCTTTAATTTTATATTGTGTCTTGAGCTGATGAGTAAAGATGAACATTAAGTGATAATACTAGAGTTAGATCACCTTAGAGTGTTGAAGTAGGATGAGTAGGAAGAGCAGAGTGGATCACTGGCTCACGAGCTTGATGACCTGAGATACATGCGAACAGAGAACACGAGAACTAGGCCGCGATTGATCCGGCGGAAACCCCTCCGACGCTCAAGTCAGACGTACAGATAGTAGAAATTGTTGAGAGAATACCAAGTGTAGTATCACTCAAATAATAGGGCGTACCTTAAGGTAGGGGTGAGCAGAAAAACCGAAAAACCGAAAAACCGTACCGAATAGCAAACCGCATGTACGGTTTTTTATTTTCGAAATACCGAATTATTCGGTTCGGTACGGTGGAAAGATAAATAACCGAACAGAAAAACCGAACCGAACCGAAATTATAAAATTACTTCATTTTATATAATATATGTATTATTCTACCCTAATTTTTATTTGGGACTTGCTTTTTACGGTTTGAAAATTGCTATTTACGGTTCAAGGCAGCTGATTTAAACGCCCAAGACGGGCGCCCACGGCGTGTACGAACGCCCGGTTTACACATGCCCCATTTGGTGTTACTTTTGACGAATAAAATAATTTTTTTATGATTTATTTATATCTAATATATAGTTTTTGCATTTTATTTGTTTAAAATTGAAATATTATTAGAAATTTATTAAAAAAGAATGAAAATATTTTTAACCTAAAATAAGAAATACGGGAATATCTTTCCAAAATATGTGAAATCGATTTTACTGAACAAATAATTATAAAATTATAAACAAAACAAATACCAAAAAATAAAAGCTTTTATTGTTACAAGATATGTTTAATTCTTTTATATATATATATATATATATATATATATATATATATTCTATTTTTAATAATTATAAACTCAAGAAATACATTACAATTTTAAAATTAAAAGTAACTACATTTTTTTAAGTATATTACATTTTGCCCTATAACTCATTAATATGCTTTCAATTATCTAACAAGGGCCAAAATGACCTTTTCAGATGACTATTCCATGGAATAAAAAAGACTCTGTTAAAAGTAACACCGTAGGGAGATTGTGGGGATAATTACATTTTGGTGCCTCATGTTTGGATCGATTCCCCTTTTGGTCCCCCTTGTTTCAAAGTGAACAAAGTTCACCTTAATGTTTCATTTTTAAACAGATTTGGTCCACTCCGTCACATGGACGTTAGCAATTAACAGAGGAAGTCACGTGCGCCGCACGTGACCCTCAATTAGGTCTGAAAAACGGGGAAAGAACCCCCAATTGCCATTCCCAACAATTTTCACCTTCTTCCCCAATTCTTTAAAAACCCAATGCCCTAATTATCTCCATAATCCCCCCAAACCAACATATTTGGTGATCATCTTCACCGAAATTCAAAATTAATCTCCATCATGGAAGCCGATCGACAAATTCAAGTGGAAGCTCACACAATCGAAGCAATATTGGCGCACGAAATGCGTGGTCCCTCCCACTCGAAACTGTTACTTGTCGTTGTGATTTTGAGCTTTCAACCCTTACTTCATAGTCGGAAAAGAACCCTGGGAGAAAATTCCGGGCATGCCCAAATTATACGGTGAGTTGATTTCCAAAAAAAAAAAAAACGATTTTTTTTTACATATTTTCTGCTTTTCTTTTTGCTCTTTAATTGATTTTTTTTTTCTAGAGCCCATCATGTTGTGGCTATTTTGAGTGGGTGGACGAAGAAGTTTGTCGAAGATGCAAGAACATTATTCCTAGATTGTTGAAAAAACTGGACAAATTGGAAGAGAAAATGAAACTGGAGAAAGAAAAAAAAGAAAAATACAAGTTGAGCTTGAACTGTACAAGAAGACACAAAGGAAGATGAAGATGATGGCATATCTTGTTATTTTTCTTCTATTTATAACAATCCAACTCATGTGCAAGCCCAAATATGAGAAGAAATTTGTAGAACTGGTGTAGAGCTTAAATATTTTGGAGGTGTTGGTGTTGCATCTTGGACATGTAGTAAAGTTTGCATTTTTATTTACTCAATAATACTTGTTAATTGTTTTGAATGACATTGTTGCTAAACTTCAATAATCTTTTGGACCACTCTTGAATCTTGTGGATAAACTTATATACCCATAGCTCTAAGAACAGTCCACTCTTGAAAATTCACTTTTCTTTGAAATTGTAACTATACTTGTCTCTCTCATATTGAAATTTTACAAGTAGGAATGGGAGAAGGTGTGGTCGAGCGTACCACCACTAGAGCCGAAGTATCAAATTCGTAGATTTTATTGCGTTGTATTTTATTTTTTAGCTATGGATATTTGATTTGGCATTTTATTTGTGACTCCTAAACTTTTATTAGTCAGTATTGAGTATTGAGATTAGTACAAGAGTAAATTGGTTGATGATGACAAGTATTGGTACTTGACATACATTAGATATATGTGTGTATCTCCTCGTCATCATCGCCGTCATTATTAGCCACCATCTCCTCGTCATCATCGGACACATACTGCAACTGAGTACGAATTGACCAACTTGAAGAACATTAGAAGGCCCGACTCCGACTGCAGTAGCTTCTTCCCTCGCTCTCTTTGCTTCTTCTCTTGCCGTCGCTTTCCTTCTACGATCGGATGCAAGAACTTCCCGATCTCCAATACGATCCGGATCATACGGATTGTTCGACTTCCGACCCAAAGCTTTCATTAAACTCTTACCTTTTCCCGTAAAATTAAATTAAATAAAAAATAAAAAACCCGGGTCGAACCCGGTTGAACCGGTCCAACCGTGACTCGAATGTCCATCCGGTTTTATGTCCAGTCCGGTTCTGACAACATTGAACATAAGTACAATTATATTTTTTTTAGAACACAAATTGATATTTTTATGAATCATGTGCTGGCTATGCCCATAATTTGAACCCATTAATTTGACGGTAAAAAAAAAACTACTAAAGGAACCAATAGAAACAAAAAGATATAATCAACGGAGGGTGATGTAGATTGTAGACAATCAAAATAATTTGTACCACATGCATAGTACAGTCAAACATTCAAAAGATCACAACTAACATCCTCTTAATTGATGAAAATAACAATAAAACTCCTCATACACAAAATAATGTGATGTATTTTTGGACAACATTTTCAACCAAATACCAATTTGCATCATTATATCATTCTTGAAACCTTACTGCAATATGTAAGTAAAATACAGTTCTAGAAAACAGCCCTACAAATAAAAGATAATAGCAAATATTTCAATCTAAGTAGACGCAACAAATTTATTTAGACTAATATTATGAAGATCAGCCAAGAAAACATCTGTAAGTGATCGATCAATACATGTAAATTAACAAACTACAAAAACCAGTGTAAACAAATTCACAATCATCTTTACAGAATAAAATTAAAATCTCCATAATAATATTACAATTTACAATCTCAATCTCCCAGCCTCAACCCGGTCTCGAGCAACACGAAAGAAGCATGCATGTTTCTTCACTCATTGAGGGAAATGACGCTCTCTCACTTCATCTGTGAAGGCCTGGAATTTTTCCTTCAACTCTTCACTCGTTAGCTCCTTTTTCTTGTTGAATATTCGAATTGTAAGGATTTCATTTCCAAGGCTCTGTTGATCCTCACCTATGTTAATTACCGAAAAGACTGCAGACTCGCTGCATCCGTTCAAAAGAATATTCCTAAGTGTCGGTATATCTCCAATGGCTAAAGGGATCTCATCTAGCTTTTTCAATCCTATAACAAAGAGATTCTCCAGAACTGGGAAGTGGGAGCTGTCTGCATTCCAATGTACCAAATCACTGCAGTTTACAATTTTTAGAAATTTCAGTTTAAGGAATTCTCCCTCAACTGGATTCCACTCCGATCCTACGACGGAATCATTTATCAGTTTGAGAACTTGAAGATGGGGCAGCAAACCGATCCTTGTCAAATCTTCCCAATTAAGAAAACAACCTTCTAAAGTCAACTTCACGAGCGATCTTGGGAATGCGATCGTGTTCCGCACCAAATCACTTCGCAGCAGCGCCGTTTGTTCGTCGCTTGATTTTTGCGGCTCGTAGACACAAAAATTTAGCGATTCGAGCTTTTGTAAGCGGCAAAGATTATAGAGACAGTAGTCGCGGGAGCTTCTTGAAATACCGAAATACATTATCTTCAATTTCTTGACGTTGGGGATTCTCTCACACACCTCCTCACTCAACCTCAAATTCACCGCTCCCTTTAGCGTTTGCAGGTTTCGCAAAACCGAGTCATGATGATTATCTTGTTGGTCACTCAAAGGAGGATCACGAAAAGATATTTTTGCGAAATCCAGATGCCTAAGTTGTTGCATAGACCAAATTTCAGATGGCGCAACAAATCGTACGTTGCCTCTAATAATCAACGTTTGAACATTCCAAAGTAGAGAAATCGACGAAGGAAGCCCAACGCTAGTGGTATGAGATTCGGAGGAATAGGATTTGCAAGCGTAGCGCAAGTTAAATAGTTCGAAAATATCGTCTCTAGATTTACTATCGACCACGTTCAATAGCACTCTCAACAATCTAAACTTAAACGACATCCTACCCCCGTTGCTTACCAAAGAACGAGCAAGAGATGCCGACTCCAAGCCATGAGAAAAAACTCGCGGATCATCATACTTGTCCTCTGGAATTTTTTCGTGAAATACAATGCGACGCTCTTCATCTATGCCTTGCGGAATGTCCGAAACCCCCATCACACGAAGAAATTTCTCTTCTTGTGCCTTCTTTAAGCATAAGTCTCTTAAGAGATCATGGACGAGGCAAATTTTAATTTTTCTTGTTGACCTATACCTATGTACTAAAATCAAATTCCTGTCAGTGAGATCTTTTAAGTAATCCTCACCAATCTCCTCCAAGCTTTGACTGTTATTTGGTCTTATAAATCCCTCAGCAACCCAGAGTTTGATTAGTTGAGTCACATGAATTCTATGGTCCTCTGGAAAAACCCCCGTGTAAAGAAAACACGGTTTCAAATGAGCAGGTAAGTGGCTATAACTCAAAGATAATATGTCGAAACTTTGTTGGTCGTCTCCTAAATTTAAAATTGAGTTTTTTTCTCTTGCAACATCCTCCCAGTATTCTTTTGTCTTGTACGACTTCCTAAGAAGCCCTCCAATGACAACAATTGAGAGTGGCAGTCCTCTGCATTTCCTTACAATCTTCTTTGCTATTTCCTCTAATTCAGGGGGACAACCTTCTAACTGCGCGAATGTTTTCTTACAAAATAGGTTCCAACTTATATCCTCATTTAGAAATTTCATTGAAAGGTACGACGAGGAGCCAAAATAAGTAGCCACACTTGATAACCTAGTGGTTACAACAATTCGACTTTTATTGGTATTATCTGGAAAGAAAAAATTTATCCGATCCCAAGCATCGGTACTCCACATATCATCCAGTACGATTAGATATCTCCTACCTATTAAGTTTTGATAAAACTTATGCGTTAATTGGTGTTCGTCAGCCTCGGGAATATTCAAATGATCACCAGTCGATTTGCTTTGGCAAGAAAAAAGCTGTGAAAAGATTTCTCTAACAGTATAGTTTTGAGAAATTGTAGCCCAAGCAATGATATCAAAGTGATGGAAAATAAGCGAACTTTCGTAAACATTTTTGACGAGTGTAGTCTTACCACTTCCGCCCATTCCTACAATAGGGATGATTTGCAACCGTGATTGTTGTCCTGTGAGAGCATCCTTAAGTTGAAATGACTCCTTATCAAATCCAACCATGGTGCATTTTTCTGTATTGCTAGTGAGAGGTTGTTGTGATGAAGTAGTTGGATATGATGTGGGCTTCAGATCTTTGATTTCCTCTTTATTAACATTGACAGAATCCATGTCGGCTATTATTTTCTGTAGATCGAGGAAGGAAGTCGAACCGGCAGCTAATTGGTCGACTATATGAGATTCGATTATATCTTCGGCCGCATAGGCTGCGCGTGCAATTTGGCTCTCCAAAACTTCAACTTCTTTGCTACCTCCATGTGAATGAGTACTCTCAACAAAATCTAGTAAGAAATCAATCTTCTCGCAGAGAGATTGAGCTTGTTCTTGGTGAAGACAAATGGAAAGGCGAGGATGGTTTTGGATCTGATCCATAATATTCAGTACAGAAACTAAAGATGCATAAGCTGCCATGATCTCAATCTTGAACTACTTTGTTTGAATTTTCAAGTGTTGGCAGAAAAATAAAGAGAAGAGCAAAAAACACCAAACACAGGTTAGCAAATTAAATGATAGAAATGTTTGACCGAATCTAGAGATGACTTTCTGCAAAATGTTATGTTGATTTTTATGCTTAAAGATGATGCTTAAACATAAATTAATTACACACTCCAATATTAAAATAACAATTCAGTTGCCTTTATATATTGCGATGCCACATTGGGGCGACGGAAAATGACAGAATTGTGATGCACATGGAGTGAGCTTTTTGTCTTCACCAAAGGTGGAAATCGGATTGACTGAATCGAAATTAATTATTTTGGATTTTTTTTTTTCTGAACAATAAAATCAATTCCACTTCTAATTTCAAATTTTTTGAAATCTAAAAATTCAATCCATCTACTAAAGTTAAGGAAATTTCATAATTTTGCAATTTGATATAACTAATAACTATTAAGTTTCAATTTATGAAAGAAATTGAAAAAGAGGATTTTAAAAAAAATGAATAAAAAAACTTAGACTGTGAATAAAAAACTTTGACTCTTCAACATGGCTCATAGACTAAAAATATAATTAGTATTTATTTTATTTTGCACTAAGAGCCCGTTTGGCTAAGCTTATTTAAAACATCTTATAAGCTCCTACATCTGATAAGATGTTTTAGGAGCTGATAAGCTGTTAGATCTTATTTTAAAAATTATTTTTTAAGGTGTTTGGATATGTAGCTTATAAGTTACTTTTTGTTTTTATAAGTTGTTCAGGTGTTTGGAAAAAAAAGGTCTGTTTATTTCTATAATGACAAAAAAGTACATGATGCCAGTATAATTGTTAAACTTATTTGACTCAAATACTTTTGTTCCTAAAATATTATTATAATATTTACAAATTATTTTTTCAAATAATAGTAATAATATAAAATTATATAATAATATAAAATAAAAGTTGTAAAAGAAATATAATTTTTTTTTGTAGATGAAAGAAATATAATTTATTATGGAGATAATAAGAATATTCGTGTACTTTTATATACATATAAAATATAAATAGAGAATAATTTTTTTTACAATTATTATGATAATTACGATAATTATATTTAACTAATTATTAATCTTGATTACAAGAATACGTTGTTTTGATAAAATATAAATATTATTAGTATTCATGTAATATAATAAAGTATTTGAGGGTAATTTTGTATTTTAAGTGTTTTAGTAAATAAGCAAATAAGATCTTAAAGAAAAAAGGTGGGGTAGAGGTACTTTTTTAAAAACATCTTATAAGCTCCCTAACAGCTTATTTTTGGAAAAAATAAGATCTTTTGCAATTTTTTTACCAAACACTTTTTAACAACTTATAAGCTCCTAAACATCTTATAAGATGTTTTTAGGAGCTTATAAGCTTAGCCAAACATGCTCTAAGTAAAATAAATAATATATAATGTGTATTATTTATAGGTGTATTGCCGGAAAAAAAAATCACAATTTTCGGGATTAATTTCTGAAATTGAAATAATTTGGAAATCGAAATGAAAAAAGTCGTTTCAAAATCGGAACTTTTTAGAGCGAAACTTGTAAAGGTTGGAAATGTCTTTCCAAAATTCACGCGTAATCTTCAACAAACTCTCACCTTTATATTATGGGGCTATATGCCAAACACCCTTCATTGGTATTTTAATTCTTGATAAATCTTTTATTTATAAATGATATTTGAGATAAATCCAACTGGGTCTGAAAAACCATATATGCCCCCACTAACTATTATATAGTATAATTATTTAATTTTTAAAAAAATATACTCATAATCTACACCCAAATCTTCTCCAGAAATTATTCCACTTATCACGTCAATTCAGTTTTTTTTTTTCCTTTTTTTTTGCTTAATTTTTTTCTTTATTTTGATTTAAAAGAAAATTTTGTAATTATTTTATTTTATTTTTTTATTTTTCGGTTTTTTATTTTAAATTATTTTTTTCTTATTTATATTTTTCATGTTTTTTATTTTAATTTAAAAAAATGGTTTTATTTCTATTTTCGTTTTTTCATGGTTTTTTTTTTCTTAATTTCATTTTTTTTAAATGGTTTTTGTTATTTTCTTTCCAATTTTTTTAAACGGCTGGGGCGTCGCTGGTAGGGGTTGGGGCAGCGCCGGTGGGGAGAGAAGAAGAGGTGAACGGAAGGAGATCTGCAACAATGAATAGAAAATAAAATAAAATAAAATCTAGAGAGAAAAAAAGAAAGAGAGAGGTACACGTTATCAAGGGCGAGATTTGTGGAGCGAGATTTGTGGATGAGATTGAGAACGTGATATTAAGGGAACAAATATTACGTATATTTATATTCAACCCTAAGGTAAAGGTATAATTGTGATAATTAATTATTTTTTATTAATAAAAGATGTATTGGATTTTTTTTATATATATGAAAAAAAATAGGGCTCTATGTATATATATATATATGTAGAGGGGTATATGTGTAAAAATACCTTTTTTTATATATATATATATATATATATATATATATATATATATATATATATATATATATATATATATATTACCAACACCAACATCAATTTGTAAAACATTTTTTGTGATTCATGCGTATTAATATTAGTATTAGCACTAATTTTACTATTAGTATTAGATTAAGGATTATAATCATGGCTAGGATTATAATTGACATTAGCATATTAGGATTACAATCAAATTTAACATTAGCATTAGCCTTAGAATATTAGTATATTAGCATTAACATTAACATTAGCATTAACATTAGTACACGAGTATTAATATTAGCATTCACATATTAGTATTAATATAAGCATCCATTATCATTAACATATTAGTATTAGTATGGGTAAATAGCACTTCACCCCCTTGTTGTATGGACATTTTGCACATGACCCCCTTTTGGTATGGAATTAGCATATAACCCCCTGAGGTTTGATGGAGGTAGCTTACATTTTTCATCCAATTTAACTGCAAATGAAGCTCACTCTCCAAAAAAGAGAGTAACTGTAGAAAAAGGTCAAACTAATTCTTGTAAAAGACCAAAATATCCTATTGCTTTCTAATTTTATTTTCTTGTTAAATTATTCTTCTATTTGAATTTACTCGTGAAAATAGTTGAACAAGAATTTTCATAGAAGATGATGCAAATGAAATTATTACAGAAATACCTCGAAACTAGATAGAGTTCTAGAGCGGGATTTGACAACTTTTATAGATGATACAAAACGGTTGCAAGGCGATTTTGAAGAGTTTTATGTCCACTAGGCCTTCCGTGAAGGAAACCATGTAGCACATGAAATAGCAAATTTCTCAATGCAAGCCCTTGTTCTTTGATTGATTTATCGGTGATAATCCAATATAGAGATGTCAATAGATCGAATCGGTTTTGTAATCCTCAGCACCCACCCCGCTTTGGAATTCCCAGCCCCATTCCGGTCAAACTTTCTGTTTGTCGACCTGGGTATCTCCATACCCGCCGATGAACATCATGCGGGTACCCGCGGATGCCCACCCCACAAAATACCTGCAAATATTTCTTCTTTTGAATTATCCTTGAAACATCTGCCAATAAATTTCTTACTTCAAATGAAAAAAACATAAATACAAGAAAACTCAAATCTCGTACAACAAAAAATGTCATCATACAAATTGAAGTGTCTTAATTAATAGGGGATATTAGTAAGAACCCCTTTAACATTATTTTAATAAGGATGAGTCAACTTATTTTTCTTTATTTCTGTATTTTTGTAAATAACACCTACACAATTTCAACAAACAAATGTCCTTTATACTAGTGCCTTGAGCACAAATTAGCATTCAAAATAGGAATTTAACCAAAAAAATCCAAGTAAGAAAGTTAAGATTTGAGAACTGAGTTCAAAAAAAAAAATCAGAGAAAATGAACAACAAGAATGAAACAATGTTGACGGTGGTCTCTATTGAAATCTTAGAAGCAATATCAACCCTAGCGTCGTTGCATAGTCCTGTCCTCTTTCTAGCGAAAACGGCCTTACTTTTGCAGCAGTGGAGGGAGGAACACCATTGGGAGAAGAGAGTAGACATAGCGAAATATAGATTGAGAAAATTGATGGTTTGGTGGCTGCAAGGGCAGTGGTATGGAGCACAACGATGGCCTCACTGCTGGGAGAGAGAAATAAGAGCAGAGATAAATATTTTTGGGAAAGAATGCCGCGTTAGGGTTGTGAATGAAGAGAGCAACTAATATAATATATGATAGATGGGTAAATTATGGACATTCCTATAAATTTTGTTAAATATTTATTTAACCAAACAAATTGGGGATATATATATATATATATATATATATATATATATATATATATATATATATACTATACTCAAAACAAAAGGAATCCTATGGTGGTTTCTTCCATTTTTTGAAGAAACAAAAATACTCATTGGCAAGTTCAAACCTTTAAGGCCAATTGTGGAATATAAACTGATTGATAATTATTATAAATTAATATTAACTTATGAAATTAAATAAGTATATTATTAACTATTGCCAAATATAGTATGGACAAGTTTAAATTATTAATGTCAATTGATATAACAAAAAATCTAGATGCACGTACAATAGAATTAACGAAAAAAATAATATCAACATAACAGTTTAAAATAAGTTTTAATTATCTTAACATATATCGTTATCTAAAATGTAATTAAAAAAATCTTTATTTAATTAGTTAGTATCAAATTTCTTCAGTTGAAGAATTTTTATCACTCTCCGTATTTTGAATATTTATGTTTACTAATAAAAAAAATAGTTTATAAAATTCATAATTTTATCTATGCCAATCAGTAATTACTATAATATGTAATATCAGAAGTATGAGTAATATAAATAAATAAATAATTAGTTTAATATATTTATAAAAATAAATTGTAATCTGGGATTGAATAAATTTTCTATAATTCAGGAATACTCAATATTGATAAGGAAAAAATGTCTGAT